ATAGTGAGCCTACCTTTCAGCTATAGGAGGGACTCCTGGAAGAGAATTCTAGTACTCATAACAGCTGATAAATGCAATAAGTGCTTCCTACTTCTGTGTCCAGATCATGTGAGGTTATCCTCGTAGAATAATTAATAAGGCCTCACATAAAGTACTCAACATCATTTGTCAGTTTGCTGGGGTTCTTGCCAATCCAATAAGACAAGACTGTGGTTGGGATCGAAAGGTTCTGCTTCATAAAGCATTGGGGAAAATTTCAGGGTTCTCTAAGAAATCACAGTTGGGGGAAAGGTCTTCCCTCAGTGACTATTTTACTTCTTGCGTAGATGATGCCATTCAAACTGGCAGGAGATGTGGCTTTCTCAATGAGTGTGCCCAAGTTACCTTGAAACACTCCATTGAGAAGAATGGCAGGAGGTGATTCCACAGGCTCAGCTTTGTCCTTCTCTGACATCCATTCAGAGAATTGAAATCCATTGGCTTTTCAGGGTAATGGGTGATACTATCCACAAGTCCCCTACAAATCTTCAATGAGTTGACATTTCAAATCATTTGATAAATCAAAGTGACAAAGATACCGTAAATTGCTGAGTAGGGAAGATGATTATGGAGAGTGAAAAAGACATTTTCATTTTCTTGCTGATGAGCAAAACAAGCAAATTTTGAAAAGGAAGTGGGACACTTCGTGAGGGGAACCTTCTCAGAGAGAGGGCTTGCAGTGGTATCTGTCTTGGCCAGTAATATACTGGTGGGAAAATGTTTCAAAACTATCCATACTGTGTACCCTAAAAACCTCTTATTGAAAACAAGAGACCTCCTGATTTGGTAATCCCTGACCCTGGAATACAAGCTGTCAATTTCACCTAAAGAAGTGTATCCAGTTTTCTGTAAGTGAAACTTGAACTTTGGTCCCCCATGGCTGTTCACCTTGATCTTTTCCCACAAAAGACCATTGGTAGAAACACAAGCTTAGGTGCTATTCTATTTGTTTGCAGAAACATCCTAAGTCTACTTTCAAGATGCTTCATTGAAAACGTGTTTCAAAGACTTGGTGAATGGTGGTGGGGGTGGGAGCAAGCAAACAAACAAAAAACCTAATCTGATCTGCAATTTAAGGTCACAATTTGGAAAATATAGTTGTGAGACCTAATTCAGGAAGGAAGCTCTTTTTCAAGCTAATCAATACTAATTATAAAATAGGTGATAGCAGGCATTGTGAGGAACTAAAAAGCAGGGGGTGGGGGCGATGCTACTTCATAATTTAGTCACCCTTGATTGGAAAGTGGGCGTTGTAAGATTTTGCACCAAACCCCAGCGAGTCACTCTGTAGTGTGGGTTTCTCTCACTTTGGGCTTTCAGTTTGAACACAGAAAGAGCAAGCCAAAAATAAGAGCCAACAGGGACGATTTTAAAAGGCCAGCCTGCACAAAAAGAGTTCTAGGCTTTTTTGCCGATGAAGGTGGCATAATGAATATAAACTCTCAAAGCCAGAAGGGAAGAAAACACAGGGAGAGGGCTAGCTGTTGTTCTCAAATATTGTCCTTAGAGTAGTCTCTAAGATCCTGGGCAAAAGAAGGAGTGAGGGAGAGCACTAAAACCACTCTAAGACCAAGTCATAACATCACCATTGTGAAGTTTCTAGAACCAAGTCAGGGAAGTGTGTTCGGGGCTTAGAAAGGAGACCTAAGGCAGTGGTCTCAATCCTTCCAATATATTATAATCAGCTGGTGCACTTTTAAAAACCTTGATGCCAGAGAAGTTCTCCAAACAAATTAAATCATAATGTCTGGAAGTGAGCTCAGGAATAAGCAGTTTATTTATTAAATTTAATTAAGTAACTTCATTGATTGATTTACTTATAGTTGTTGGTATTTTTAAAAAATTCCCTAGGTAATTCCAATGCGCAGCCAAGGTTAAGAACCATGAATTAAAAAGCAATAAAGCATACCAGAAATGATAAAGGACCCTCATGTCTATATAGCCTTGTGTTTCTTCAAACAGTTCTTTCTCTTATAGCTAACATGCAATAATACACTAAGTATTAGTGCTAGTATTTTTCTTAATTTAATAAGACTACTGTAACAATATCATAGAGTAGGAGGCTTATAAACAAAATACATTTATTTCTCACAGTTCTGGATGCTGTGAAGCCCAAAATCAAAGTGTCAGCAGATTCATTGTCTGATGAGGTGCTACTTCCTAGTTCATAGACAGCTACTTTCTCAAGGGTCTTCCCCTGGCAGAAGGCACAATTGAGCTCTCTGGGAACTCTTTTACTAGGGCACTAATTCCATTCATGAGGGCTGCACTCTTATGACATAATAACCTTCCAAAAATCTCACATCCTAATATACCATCTTGAAGATTAGGTTTCATCATATGAATTTTTTGGCAGACAAGCATTCAGTCTTTGGCAATGTTACTACGTCATTTTAGCATTGAGATAAATATAGAGAGAACACCTAATCAAGGATTCAAGTCTGGGCCTTGATATAGACATTCTAAGTGAAGACCTTCTTAGAGATATGGGCTTCTGAGAGCTCATGCATGGGCTTTCCACTTGGTGTGGCTGGCTTATAAGTTGCTACCAGGTGATCAAGATGAAGTTAAGATATGAGAGTCACGTAGGCAGGTTTAGACTGATCAGAGCAAGACTTCTCTGAGATTCAAGGTTAAGATAAGTCAGAGAGATATACATATGGAAGCCCCACTGATGAGATGGAACACTGGCATGGGCTCAAGGAGGGAGAATTTTTCAATCTGCCCCACACTAGAATCCTTTATTCAACTTCAAGTGGTACCTCCCTTTTGCAGTTTTAGGAGAAGGATCTGCTATGTTCTGTGCTTCATATTAGGTCCTACTTTATTTCATGCTTAGTGTGCTGTAGTCAAGGGTCATCTTCTTTGGTTGAGCTCAAAGTCTGGTGGCACCTTAAGATTTTCCTGTCTGGGGGAATCTGTGTAATGGTGTGACCAGGCCATTTCTGCACATTTGAAGTCCTTGTCTACTCTGGCCCAGTTGCCTTCAGGGTCTCACTGTTTGTTAAGATAGCACCTAACAAAATGCTGTGTTGCAACTCTTCTGGGGCCTTTCATTCATGCAGTAGCACTTCATACAATGCATGATAAAATTTCAGATGGTGGTGAGAAATGAAGAAACCAGCTAAGTTGGGAAGAGTGTCTCAGTCTTCTGGGGAAGACAATTCCAACAGGGCTGAAGGAGTACACAGGCCAAAAAAGAAACGATAAGGGAAGAGTTTCTCAAGGATCACCCTAAGTAAAGTAGAGCTGGGAAAGAAATCCAAGACAGAGGAGACAGGGAAGGAAAAATAGATTTCTGTTGGAGATAATGAATAAATTAGTGTGGCTAGGGGGTAAATATGAGGCAGGGTCGGGTATGAGATGTACATGAAGAAGTAAGCAGTGTTCAGATGATGAAGGACCCATGGACCATGATAGGGAGTTTTAACTTTATTTTATGACACTTTAGAGCAATTAAAGCAGTGTCTCTGGTTTTGGCTACACATTGGAATCACCTAGAGCACTTTCAGAATACTGATGCCTGGACACCACCTCCAGAGATTCTGATTTAACTGGCTTGGGGTACAGACTGGGCATCAGGATATTTGAAATCTGTCCAAGTGTTTATTCTAGACAGCCAAGGTTGAGAGTCACTGCAGACCAATGATATTTTCAAGTGCCTGTTTTAGAAAGCTCACTCTGATAACAGAGGAACAGACAGAGGCAAGAATAAGTTTGGAGGCTATTGCAATAGTTTAGGTGAGAAATGATGTAGAACTGTCCAATAGCAGCAGTGATAGGACTAGAGAACAAGGAATGGTTTTCAGAGGTGTTTAGTATGTTAAATTGGCAAGACTTGGGTCATTGATTAACTGTGTACTGAGGGAAAGATGGAATTAAGAATGACTCTCAAAGAAAATTAAACCTTCATACATTGCTGTGAAGTTATAAAATGGTGCATTAACTTTGAAAAATAGTTTAGCAGTCATCTCTCATCTTGAAAATGCCTGCATTCTCCCTTGAACGTGCATTACTTGCTTTACTCTTATAGGCCTCTTTCTTAATATTACCCTCATTCTTCCTTGGATATGTATCTACTTTCCCAAATAAACTATCTATGCCTTTGAAAAAAAGAACAGTTTAATGGTTCCTCACAAGTTTAAACGGATTTACCAAGTAACCCAGCAACTTCAATCCTAAGTGTACACTCAAGGGAATTGAAAACATATGACCACACAAAAACTTGACTGTAGATATTCACAGCAGCATTATTCATAATAGCCAAAAACTAGAAATAACCCAAATGCCTGTCAAATGATAAATGGATAAACAGAATGTGGTATGTTTATATAATGGAATTTTCCAGCCATAAAGAAATGAAGAAGGAGGGTATGGTGGTGCATGCTTCTAATTCCAGGGACATGGGAGATTGAGGCAAGAGGATCACAAATACAAAAGCAGCCTTGATAGCTTAGTGAGACCTTGTATCAAAATAAAAAATAAAAAGGGTTAGGGATGTGGCTCAGTGGCAAAGCATCCCTAGGTTTAATTTCAAGGACAAAAGCAAGAAGATGAGGAGGAGGAGGAAGAGGAGGAGGAGGAAGAGGAGGAAAAATGAAAAAGAAGAAGAGGAGGAGGAGTAAGAAAGGGTTTGCATACTATAACATGGATGAACTTGTAAATATTAATACTAAGTGAAAGAATCCAGTCACAAATCATTCCATAAAGTGTGATTATATTTATATTGAAATATCCAGAATAAGTAAATCCTACCAGACAGACAGAATGCACATTAGTTGTTTCTAGGGACTGGTGGAGGGATAGAGAAAGATTGCTAAATGATAAGATGAATATTTTTGTAAGTGAAAAAGTGTTCTAAACCTGAGTTTGGGGGCCTCTTGGGAAACTAAGTGAATTTACTAAAAAGCACTAAATTGTACATGGTAAAAGGGTAACTATTATGGTATGTGAATTATGTCTCAATAAAACATGGAATTTATTTCCAAGTTCTTATCTTGCTTGGCTGGGTTAATGATGTTGTCATTAAACGATTCAGAAAATGCAGGAGTAGAAACATACTTGGCAGGGACTGATGATTGAGGGGCCTCTGGGAACTGGTGGCCAGTAGACAGGTGGATGATGAGTCTGGAGTCTAAAGAGAGATCTTGAGAACAGACATAGATTTTGGAGCCATCAATGTAGAGATAGATGGCCATTAATGTTAATGGAAAGGATGTGATCACTTGGGAGAAGGGTATAGTGTGTGAGGATAGTAGGCCAAAGAAAGATCCCTAGGGAACACTAATATTTAAGGGGTGATAAAGAAAGAAGAGCTCACAAAGGAGTTAAAAGAGAACATATCAGGAATATTTAAGGAGAAGCAGCAAAGGAGGAGAAGGAGATTTTTACAGGATCCCAGAAAGCTGTGACAGAGAGAAGATCCAATTTATTTTTTAAATTTTAATTTGTTCTAAACATGTATACATGACAGTAGAATGCATTTTGACACATTGTACACAAATGGAGCACAATGTCTCATTCATCCTGCTGTAGAGAAGGTCCGATTTAAATACTATTATAGGGGCTGGGGATGTGGCTCAAGCGGTAGCACACTCGCCTGGCTGCGTGCGGCCCGGGTTCGATCCTCAGCACCACATACAAACAAAGATGTTGTGTCCGCCGAAAACTAAAAAATAAATATTAAAAATTCTCTCTCTCTCTTTAAAAATAAATAAATACTATTATATAATTAAATCTCTGCCTACAAGCCCACACTGACCCTGTTTTGAAGATATTGGTAAGATGAATTTTGTTCAATGATAAATCCTCTATGACAGACTCAAAGTCTGGACCCTCTGACAGTTTCCTTCTGCCTTTTGTCCCTTCTGAGGCAAAGATCAGCTCTCCAGGGCAGAATGACTTCCTTCACTCTCTGTAGCCCCATTACTTCTGTACTCTAGGAGACAAGAAGAAGGGGTTCTGTCCCTGGAGGACTGAAAAATGAATGGACTCTACATAGAAAGCCAAAGGGTTTTTCCTGTTCACCAAGGAAGAGTAACCAATCAGATGGGACTTCTGCGGCACTCAGTGCCTTCCTTAAATTTACAGCACACTTCCTCTTCACACTTGCCCATAGTTGTTCTGCCTCATGGGTTGACAGTGACGTTAAAGCTGACATTTATTTATTGTATTGATGTTATGACTGGTATAGACTTTTACTCCTCAAAATAAACTTACAAGTTAAGTACTGTTAATTCTTCCCATTTAAAGATCAGGGAAATGAGTCACAGGAAAGTTAAGTAATTTGCCTGATGCTAGACAGTGGCAGGGCTTGGGTTTGGACCCAGGCATCTTGACTCTAGGAGCACTTGATCTTAACTGTTATCCTACTGACCTCTCAATAAGCAGACAAAGCAATGTAGTATGACATAGAGGGAGAGAACTGTTAAGTCACACCAAGTCCATGCCTCTGTAATCTAGAAACTAGCTGTGTTCCATTTGGCAACTTATGCATCCTTTCCTGGGTCTCAGTTTCCTAATCTATGACATGAAGCTATTAATATTAATCTGCCCCACAAACCTCACAGGTTTTTTGTGATGATCAAATGAGATGTGTACCAAGTGAACAGTTAAAATGATAAAGTTCTGTACTTGTTTTCCCAGAATCTCACTTGGCAGTTGACATGGAGTAGGAACTCAGTACAGTTGCACCTCCATATCACTGGGTTCTGTACCCTCAAATTCAACCAACTCTAGATGAAAAATACTTGGGAAAAATTGCAAACATGCTGAATACATACAGACTTTTTTCCAATAATTATTCCATATACAATATAGTATAACAACTATTTACATAGCACACATCATATTGGGTATTATAAGTAATCTAGAGATGAGTAAAGTATACAGAGGATGTACATTGGTTCTATGCAAATGTTCCATCTTTTTATATAAGGGTCTTAAGCATCCTCAGATTTTCGTATTCAGAGAGGGTTCTGGAATCAATCCCCTGTGGATACCAAGGGACAAATGTACTGTTGATTGAGACAGTACATGGATGCTTTTCCATTTTCTCTTTCAATACTTTATAGCAATTCTTTGACAATTTATCTTCCACATTAGACTGAGCTTTCCAAGGATAAGGACCAGGTCTTGTCATCTCTGTCTTCACAGCACCTAGCTCAGAACTTGACACTAAAAGAGCACTCAATAAATAGTACTATGTAGTGGTAGTGATAATGAAAGCCACAGTAGTAGGACAAGCCCAGCCACAGCACTTTGAATGAGCCACTTTCTTGGCAACTACAGCAATGGCCTGCGACCAGCAGAGAGCAGCAGAGACCCCAAGCATAAACCTGCCTGTAAACAAGCCCCTGGGATGGGGCCACATCTCCTTTCTTCTCTGAACCTTGCACAGCAAGTGGTCTATCTATAAAGGGATGGAAATTGAGCGTGGTTTGACTAAAATGTGCTTCCTCAACACTTAAGCAATTTGCAAATTTCAGACCAAAACTAGGGCAACAGGAGCTTTTTGAGTCACTAAGATCATTCCCAGTGTTAACTAACCTACAGCATCCATGAGATCTGAAACTGTCCTGGGAAGGACAGTATAAAGGGTGGTTACTACTTCCTGTATAAGGAGTTAAATGCAACTGACAAAGGGGCTTATTGAATGTTGAAAGAATTCCTGGTAAAAGCTAGTGACTTCTGCTTTTTTTTTCCCCAACAGTGATTGCAAAGGTTCCATAAAGAACTGTCCAGCTACATATTATTTTGATGTTCTACAGCTTGGTAAAGAGCCAAATGAAAACTCCATATCTCTGGGCCAGGAGTCATTAAATGAGTTGAATGGATGGCAATTATTTTAGCTACCAGTGGGAACAAGGGCCTAGCATACTGGTCAAGTGGCCTGTTTACTTCTACTAACTGATGGGCCAACTTTATTATTTTTTCCATTAAACACCAAAGTGCGGTTGGAACTAATGGCCTTTTAAGGGAAGGCAAAAGCTTTTCTATTTATTTATATTATTCTTTGACTGTTACAGGTTTCTACCTTAATACCCCTTAATTACTCCACAGCAATCAAGTATAGGGGTTGAGAGTATGGGCTTTGGAGTCAGACAAAATCAGTCTTGAATCTCGGCTCGACAACTAACTGGCTGTATGGGCTGGACCAATTACCAAACCACTCCAACCTTTCATTTACTTATCTGTAAAACAGCACACTGATTATTATATTATTATAATGGTTATTGCAAAGGCTTGATGAGATGAGGCATCTCCAGCACTTAGCCTGGAGCCTGGTCCATGATGAACGCTCAGCAAAAAGTAGCCTTTCTTACTCAAACATTTTAAAAATTCTAAACACGCACAGTTATGAATTCACTTTAAGGAGAGTTAATGGCAATGATAAGATTTTTTAAATAAGTCTTGATAAAGAAATGAGGTACATAGAGATGAGGTAATTGTCCAAAGTCAGAAAGGGACTGGAGATGCACATTAAGCCTTCATTTGTCCAAGTCCCAACATTAACCACAAGAAAATTAAGGCTCCTCCTGGCAACTTTGTTCTTTTTTTTTTTGGTACCAGGGATTGAACTCAGGGGCACTCGACCACTGAGCCACATCTCCAGCCCTATTTTGTATTTTATTTAGAGACAGGGTCTCACTGAGTTGGTTAGTGACTCACCATTGATTTGGTTGGCTTTGAACTCATGATCCTCCTACTTTAGCCTCCTGAGCTACTGGGATGTGCCCAGCCCACAATTTTGGTTTTGAGAAGCAATCTACTCTTCCCCTCCAGCTTTAGGTCTCTCTCAGAGCCCTGGTGTCAGGAAGTGTCCTGACATGCCCCTACCTTCTGCTTGAAGGTCTGTCCATGGTCCCACTCCTCTAACGGAGGCTTGCTCTCCAGAAGCTGAGTTATTTGCCTGTGGTCACACAGTTGGTTGAGCAAGGAGACTAGAGAAATAATGTTAAAACCATTATTCCTTAAAGTCAAACTTGTACTTCTGGAACATAGAGTAAAATTAATATTGTATGCATTAAGTTATTCATAAACATGGTATTACAGATGCAGTGATAGTCAGGAGAGGATTCAGATTGTAGTCTAGTAGGAAAGACAGACAAGGAAATGGTCAGCTGGGATGAACATTCTATAACTGCTTCTGGGACATGGTGTCAGGGTAACAGGAAGAGCCCAGGGAACTATGGGAGCTCAGAAGAGGAGAGCTAATTCAGCTTTGGTGTGTGGAGAAGTAGGATCTATAAAGTTCATTTTCTTCTCTTAGCTAAGCATAATATCAATTTATTAGTGGCATAAATGCTGTCTTCACTTATTTATTTATTGAACAAAAATTTGCTGAACTAGGACACTATGATAGGAATGATAGAAAACAGACATGCAGGGCTGGGGCTGAGGTTCAGCGGTAGAGCGCTCACCTAGCACGTGCGGGGCCCTGGGTTGTATCCTCAGCACCACATAAAAATAAATAAATAAAATAAAGGTATTGTGTCCTTCTACAACTAAAAAATACATTAAAAAAAGAAAGAAAACAGACATGCTTCATACATGGGTATTGCCCCTGTGAAATCTGGCTCTTTCCTTTAGGAAGTGGGAGAGAGTGATCCTTTTCAATGTGTTCAGAATTACAAACTCCATTAGCTTCAGGTAACAGGTAACAATAAGGCTGAAGAATTTACTGGTTGAGTTTTTTCTGCCTGATTAATATATCCATTAAGTATTTGTTATTTTTGTGTCATGAAGTATGTTGATTTATGAACAGGATAATGTTCCTGAATTTCTGGAACCTCCTGCATGGTTATATGTTATGGGATTAGCTAATGGAATATTTTTATACATATATATGGACCTTTTTAAAAATATTTTTTAGTTGTCAATGGACCTTTATTTTATTTATATGCAATGCTGAGAATTGAACCCAGTGCCTCAGACATCCTAGGCAAGCACTATACCACTGAGCTACAACCCCAGTCCACTATATATGAATCTTTATTAGAGCATTATATTTATACGCAGTACTTGGGTTTATTTTGACAAAATCACACATACAAGGAATTTGATTTCATTCCTTTCCTCCTCCCTCACCCTATTCTCCCTCCTCTACTCTACTGACCTTCCCTTCACTCCTTTATTTATTTATTTTTGATTGGTACTTTCTACATATACATAAAGGCAAAATTTCCTGTGGTATATTTATATATATGTTATACATAACATGATTTTAAATCAATTCTGCATTCCCTCTGCTTTGCCTTCATTCTTTCCTCCCTCTCTCTCAATCTCCTTCTGCTCCACTGATCTTACTTATATTTTTATGATATCTGATTCCCTCCTCTGCTGCCTTCTTTCCCTTGTTTTGCTGTAGCTTCCACATAAGAGAGAAAACATTCAACTCTGAGTCTGGCTTATTTCACCTAGCATAATTTTCTTCACTTCCATCCACTTACCAGCAAATACCATTATTTCATTCTTTATGACTAAGTAAAATTCCATTGAGTATGTACACCACATTTTGTTGATCCATTCATCTATTGATGGGCATCTGGGTTGATTCTATAAATTGGCTATTGTGAACTGTGTTGCTATAAACATGGAAGTGACTGTATTACTACAGTATCCTGATTTTAGTTCTTGTAGATGAATACCAAGGAGTAGGACAACTGGTCATATGGTGCTTCTACCCCTTGTTTTTTGAGGAATTTCCACACTGATTTCCAGAGTGATTATGCTAATTTGCAATTCCACCAACAACGTGTAAGTGTACCTTTTTTGCCCACATCCTTACTGTCATTTATTATTATTCATGTTCTTGATAATTGCCATTCTGACTGGAGGGAGATGAAATTTCAGTGTAGTTTTGATTTACATCAGGGGATTGCTAGAGATGTTGAAACTTTTTCATATATGGGTTGGTCATTGGTGTTTCTTCTTTTGAGAAATTTCTATTAATTCTTTTGCCCATTTATTGATTGGGTCATTTGGTTTTTATTTTGGTGTTGAGTTTTTTGAGTTCTTTATGCATTCTGGATACTAATCCACTATCAAGGGAGTAGCTGGCAAAGATTTTTTTCCCATTCTATAAGCTTATTCTTCATTCTTAATCTTTTACTTTGCTGTGCAGAAGCTTTTTAATTGGATGGCGTTCCACTTATGATGCTTGTTTTTATTTCTTGAGCTTCAAGTGTCTTGTGGAGGAAGTAAGTGCCTGAACCTATATGATGGAGTGTTGACCTTCTGTTTTCTTCTAGCAGTTGCAAGGTTTTTGGTCTAACTCCTAAGTCTTTGAACCATTTGGTTTGACTTTTGTGCAAGGTGAGAGAGGAATCTAATTGCATTCTTCTACATATAGATATCCAGTTTTCCCTGCACCATTTGTTAAAAGGCTGTCTTTTCTCCAATATACATTTTTGGCACATTTGTGAAGTATCATTTGGCTGGAAGTATGTGGATTTTTCTCTGTGTCTTCTATTCTAACCTATTGGTCTTTGTGTCTACTTTGATGACAATACCATACTGGTTTTGCTACTATACCTCTGTACTATAATTTAAAATAAGGTATTGTGATGTTTCCTGAATTATTATTATTAAGAATTGCTTTGTGGGCTGGAGTTGTAGCTCAACGGTAGAGTGCTTGCTTTGCGCATGTGAGGCATTGGGTTTGATTCTCAGCACTACCTATAAATAAGAAAATAAAATAAAGGTCCAACTTAAAAAAAATTGCTTTGGCTATCTGGGTCTCTTATTCTTCCAAATTAACTTAAAAACAGTTTTTTCTAGTTCTGTGAAGAATTTCATTGTTATTTTGATGAGGATTGCACTGAATCTGTATATTGCTTTCAGCAGTGTGGCCATTTTGACATTATTAATTCTGCCTATCTAAGAATATGCGAAGTCCTCTTCAATTTTTTTCTTCAAAGTTCAATAGTTTTAATTGCAGAGTTTTTGTTTGTTTGTTTGTTTGTTTGTTGCCTCCTTGGTTAGATTAACTATCAGGCATTTTATTTTATTTTATTTCATTGAGGTTATTGTGAAAGGGATGTTTTCCTGATTTCTTTCTCAACTGAATCACTGTTGGAGTATAGAAAAGCTACCGATTTTTGAGTGTTGATCTTGTATCCTGTTGCTTTGCTGAATTCATTTGTCAACTCTAGAATTCTCCTGGTGGAATGTTTTGGGTCTTCTAGATATAGTTTCATGTCATCAACAATCAGAGATAGTTGCTAATGGAATTTTGAAGACTGACTATCCTTCACCTTTTGAGGATGAAATCAAACTCAATGTCAATGATGCAAGCAAACATGTTAATACTGGAATTTTCTCTACCTGTCATGGTACAGAGTGCTTAGAAAATGATAAATTGTTTTTCTAGAGATCTGAAATATTTTCAGCTGTGCTTCTGGGTAAATAATGAGGAAATGTTCAAATGGTGTGCTTATTATACATTCCAGAATGTTGTATCATGGCCCTGCTTGAATATAGTTTCCTATACTCTTTTATTGGTTTGGGGAAGCATCACTACTTCCATCTATGTTTCCATTTACTTGTTCTCATGTTCATCTTTTACCATCTCTGTCCAGATCTTTCCAAGTGTCTCCTGAATGTTTTATCCTGGAACTTCCAACCATGCATTTTCTCATATCTTTGCATCTATAATAGAAACCTGGGTTTATGAACCTTAAAGATCAGGAAACAGTCATGATTCTGATTTTCCAATGAAATACAACAGTGCTCCCAGCTAGGTCTTCATGGGTCATTTGGGGAAAAATGACAATTGGCTTAAACAGTGACTGATTCTACTCTGGGTAGATATTGGCCTTCCTGCTTGGTGAGTTATCTAGAAACTGCTCAGAGGAACTGCTCCAAGTCCTGTTGGAATTTAACCCTTTGCTAATGAATTTAATAGGACATAGGTATTCACTCCTCTATCTAGAGAGAAATCTACAAAGCTTTTTAGCATTGAAAGGTGGATTAGTCAGCCTTCAGTTGTTGTGACAAAGTACCCGACATAAAGAATTTAAAAGAAGGGGGAAAGGTTCATTTTGGCTCACAGTTTCAGGGATTTCAGTCTATGGTAATTTGACTTCATTGTTTTTTGGCCTGTGAAAAAGACAGATCATCATGGCATGGAGCATGTGGTAGAACAAAGCTGCTTACTTCATGGCAGCCAGGAAAGGGATCGGGAATAGGGGTCTCAATGTCCCTTTCAAGGGCATACTCCCAATGATCTAACTTCTTTTAACTATGCCCCACTTCCTAAAGGTTCTACCACTTCCCAGTAATGGCACAGGCTGGCAACCCTTTGTCATAATGGGCCTTTGAGGACATTCCAGATCCAATGACAGCAGAAGGCTTTAATGACCACCTCCCAAGAAGGGCTGCACTAAATCACAGTTTTCAGCTCCAGGTCAAGGAACTAATTCAATTTCAATTCTCTCAGCTAGTCTTGAATTCTCTCATTCATTCTCTGGAAAAGCTGAAGAATATCCTTTCAAATTGGAAGACTTCAGTAATTCAGTCTTCATTGACTGAGATTACCTCTTTATTTTGGCTCTTTGCAGCTACAGTAGAGTGGAAAGAATGTTGACTTTTAAGTCAGTTCAACCAGGACTAGAGTTGAGACTGCACTACTTCCTAGCTGTGTGATGTTACACAAGTAATTTAGCCTCAATCTCTCATTAGGAAAATGAAAACAATAATAGCTCCTAACTAACAAGGTTATTGTGAAGGCTAATGAAATAATGCATGTAAAGTAATATGTTATGACCAACTGTTCCAGTTTGCCTGGGAATGGGTTTTCCTGGGACATGAGACCTTAACTGCTAAAACCAGGGCAGTCAAGGGAAATCAGGATTGTTGGTTACTACAGATGAATGTGAGCAAGATGTTCCCCTTTCTCTTTGTTACCAGTAAGATAGTCAACATTCCCAGGACAGGAGAC